CTTGTACATATTTTATCATGAACCTTTATTTACATAAAACTACACAAGGTAAGCATACAGCCTCCTGCCACCCCCCACCCACTCAGACGACTTTATCCCCCCCCCCCCTACCCCTTCCACACACACACACACACACTTACACATTTTCACACACACGCACTCAACTCACTCACTGAAAGCTCTCTCACCAACTAACGTCAGAGCCTCTTAAGGGACAACAGTAAACGTTCCTCAAGTGTCCGGCAGACCACACTGAGGGAATGCTCTGATGCTGGCCAGGGAGGCGGAGGTATTAGGGGGGGGTGAAGGGCGTGGAGAGGGGGTGGGGGTAGAGGGGGGGGGTAGTAGGGGGTTGTGGGTGAGGTTAGGTAAGGCTGAGTATGGGTGTGGGGTGTTGTGGGGAGGGGTGGGGGTGGGTGAGATGGACTGTGGGTGGGGGGGTTGGGGAATGGGAGAGGAATGTGGATGAGGGTGGGGGTGGGGGAAGGGTTGAGGGTGGGCGGGTGGCCGGGCGGTTGGGGGTGTGGGGGCAGGTTAGCTATTACATTTTCCACATGTCACGTTAATGAGACTTTGGAGGAATGAGGATGCAGAGATATAGGAGAGAGAAAGAACGAAAGAGAGAGAGAGAGAGAGAGAGAGAGAGAGAGAGAGAGAGAGAGAGAGAGAGAGAGAGAGAGAGAGAGAGAGAGAGAGAGAGAGAGAGAGAGGGAGAGAAAGAGAGAGATAGAGAGCAAGAAAGAAAGAAAGGGAGATAAAGAACAAGAAAACACACACAAGATAAGTATTAAACACACACACAAGATAAGTATTAAGCACACACACACAAACAAATTAAGAATATAAACACACATAAACATATTAAAAATAAAGACACACACACGCCAACAAACAAATCCAACACCCAGACGAGAGACGACCCCCCAAAAAAATTAAGAAGGAAAAAAAAACGAAGTAAAAAGCAAAAAAAAAACGACCAAGATTAGCTCACCCCTTAAGCGAACAATCTAACGAAAGGTAAAATGAAGACGGCTCATCCACTCTCGGATTTCATTAAGAGCTTCCTAATTTCCCTCGCCGCTCTTCTCATAACGCTCGCTCTCTCTCCCTTTTTTCTGTGTCTCCGTTGAAAGGGGGGGATTATGCTCCTGTTTGTCTTGGGTTTAAGTGGCGTTCGGTGAGAGAGAGAGACGCGGAAGACCAACGAGGCGATTGAGGTGTGGAGGAAAGGTTTGGGGGGGTTGGGGGAGGGGAGGAGGAGGATAGGAGTGGGAGGGATGGGGGAAGGAGGGGGAAGGGGGAGAATCTGGGAGGGGGAAGGGGGAAATCTGGGAGGGAGGGATAGGGAGGGATGGAGAGGGAATGGGAAGGTGGAAAGGTGGAAGGTGGGAGGGAGGGATGGGAGAAGGGAGGAATGGGAGGGATGGAGGGAGTGGGGGGTGGAATGGTGGGGGGGAAGGGATAGCGGGAGGGATAGGGGGATGAGAGGATGGAAAGGTGGGAGGAAAAGATGGGGAGGAAGGCTGGAGGGATCGGAAAGTGTGAAGATGGAAAGGGGGGAGGAAAGAGTGGAAGTTTGGAGGGGAGTGAGAGGGAGGGGTTGGAGGAAAGGAGGGGTTAGGGGAAGGAAGGAGTAGAAGGAAGGAAGTGGAAGGTATGGAGGGAGGATGGGAGAGGGAGAAGGATGAGGAAGAAGAATAAGGAGAACGAAAAGAGAGAGAGAGAGAGAGAGAGATAGAGACAGTCAGACAGACAGACAGACAGAGAGAAAGAGAGGGAGAATAAGCAGAAAAGAAAGCGAGAAAGAGAGAGAGCGATAAAGACCAAGATAAAGAAAGTGAGAAAGAGAGAGCGATAAAGACCAACATAAAGAAAACCAGAGAGAGAAAGCGATTGCGGATTAGAAATGAGATCACACCAAGTTATATCGCAAGTGGCATTTCTGACGGAGTTTAATGACATTTATTCCTATCTGTAGACATTAAAGCTTTACTACGTGCAAATTGTACACTCAGCGTGCATGGTTGGAAAAAAAAAAGATATATGGCGAAACACTTTATGGGGAACGTTTTTGAGGAAACTATTCTATTTATTATTATTTATATATTATTTATTTACTTATCAAATCTTATTTTTTGAGCTCTTAATCCAATGGAAAAGAAATGTATCCTCGTTGTCCGTTTTATGTATAAGGTTGGTATTCTTCATTAATAAGTAAGAGATCCGTAAGAGTCCTTAAAAAAAAAAAGAAAAAAAAAACTTACCGGGAATTCCTGGCCGAATTCGTCCGTTAAGTGCGGTTTGATTAAATAATAATTATAATCTACGCGAAGTGAAGAGGTCTACTGAATATCCGCTTTGTGATCGAAAGTTTATTTTCTAAAGGACGAGTCTTCCCTCCCTTACCCCCCCCTCCCTTACCCTCCATTCCCCCCTTCTCCCTCTCTCTCTCTCTCTCTCTTCTTTCTCTCCTCTTTCTCTCCCTCCCTCTCTCTCTCTC